TTGATGTGGTGGAGAAGTTCTGAAATCTGGCAGTGACCTCTCCGGGTAGGGGTGCACTTTTCGAGATGGAAGCAGCAGATGTTGTGAATGAACTTTTGGAAAGGATCAAAGAGGCACAAGTGTAGAGAGAGTGCTTGGACTACGTGAAGAACCAATACAGTGTGTCTTGGAATGAGGATAGACTCCTGTTGTTTCAGAAGAGGATCGTGGTTCCTCGAGGTCCGTTGACCGAAGAGGTTATGGCAGAGGCCCATAAGGGCTAATTCTCAATCCACCCTGGTGCCACAAAGATGTATCAAGACCTGAAGAAGAACTTCTGGTGGCCAGGCATGAAGAAGGACGCTGTTGTTTTCGTGTCCAAGTGTTTGGTTTGTCAGAAGGTGAAGATTGAACACCATAAGCCATCTGGTAAGCTTCAACCTCTTGAGATTCCGGAATAAAAATGGGAGAGCATTTCCATGGACTTCGTAGTGGGTTTGCCCAAGACTCAAGCGAGTTGTGACTCTATCTGGGTCATTGTGGACAGATTGACGAAGTCTGCCCATTTTCTTCCAGTGAAGGTGAGCTTCACTACAGAGCACTTGGCCAAGCTTTATGTTCGCGAGATTTTGAGCCTTCATGGGGTGCCCGAGAGTATCATTAGTGATAGGGACCCGAAGTTCACGTCTCGGTTCTGGGAGGCGATGCAGGAGGCTTTCGGTACGCAGTTGAGATTGAGTACCGCCCATCACCCTCAGACTGATGGACAGACTGAGAGGACCATCCAGACCTTGGAGGACATGTTGAGGGCTTGCACATTGGAGCAGGGTTCAGCATGGGATAGGTACCTTCCGTTGGTTGAGTTTTCTTACAACAATAGCTTTCATGCTAGCTGGGCATGGCACCCTACGAAGCGTTGTATGGTAGGAGGTGTCAGACTCCTACCTGCTGTCGGACTCCGGCAGTATCCCGACTTCAGTGACAGGTATGTTTCTGATTTTGAAGACAAAATCCTTGAAAGGTGGGGTGAATGTAAGAACTCACACCGTTAATTAAGGAAGTTAATTAATTAAATATGATAATTAAGAAATAATTCCATAATTGACCCTGATATTTACTTTGAGGCTTTAATAATTATAGTATGTGAGTAATAATGCTGAAAGTCATTTTTCGGACGGAAAATGCAGATACCGGTTCTGCTACCCGGTATAAATGCGTACCGGTGAAGTATCTCGGAAAATTATAATAAATCCATGAATATTCCTAGAATAATATGTAGGACTAGTAAAACAAGTTTCAGGTCAAAATAATGAGAACTGGTGCCAGAACTGATATTGGATATGAAAAAGCGCGTACCGGAAAGGTGCTGCGCAAAATATAATAAAAATATGATAAATCTTGTAAAATTGAGTAGGTTCAGAATCCTGAGTTTGGGATTTAAATGCTAAGCGTAGCAATTAGCAATAATACTCTGTGTTTAATTGTTAAGTGGCTACATATATAACATTTCTGCACAAAACCCTAGGTCATACACTCTTCATACGTGACTTTGGTGGCTGACCAGCATTCTCTCATTGCTCCATTTCCTTCCTTCTTCTATTTCTTGAGCTTTGAGGCATATTGCTTCATGAAAACTTCTCCTAAACACTTGTGGTGAGTAAGAGTGGGCATTGGGAGTGTGTTGGTGGCCTTGTTCTGAGTTTCTAGCCACTGTGAGTCGGTGAGGGTGCTGACCTTGTGTGGTTTGGGTGTTGGGAAGCCATGGTCATGGCATTTGGAGGTCCAAGTAGTGACCTTTGAGGTGAAAGAACCAACCTTGAGCATCATTTTCATTTTCCTTGGGAAGTCAGAGTTTGGGGAGTTGATTGGTGAGCTCCTTGAGCATTTGCTTTGCTGTTTTGAACCTTGGTAAGCCTTACCACCTTGATCATGAGTTATTTGGTTAAAAATGGAACCTTGATGCATGTAATGAACAAAAGTTGATAACTTAAGGTTGGGTAATGCTAAACACACCTAGAGATGCATGTTCTAGCTTCGGTATTTGTTAAATGAGTCACCTTTGAGAAGGATATCTCGCGAAATGCAAAACTGCATTCTGTCGCGAAATATCCGAATATGGTATCCAGATATTGATATCCGGCTATTGAAATTCAGATATGGGGTCTTGTAATCTCCGAATATGGATATCCATATATGCATATCCGGATATGCATATCCGGATATGATATCCAATATGGGATATCTGGATATGTCCCCGACATATATTCGGATATTATGGGTTTTCGAAGAACAATAGTTGCACTGTTCATACAGAAGGCTATTGGGGGTTTGTGGGCCCTAGATTGATGAAGTTGAACTTCTGTATTAATTAACTAAGTTAGAACCTATGTGTTTTAGGGCTTGTGGCTTTGTGAGAAGCCTAAGGACGTAAAATGTAAAAAAAAAAGGCATTGTCTTTATTGTATGCTTAAAGAGTATGGTTATTGATTTAATGTTGGCCCAAAACAGATTGTGATTCTGCTGTGTGCTGGACTTGAGTTGTGTGGACTCTTGGCATTGGGTAGTTAGCTTGCAAGGTAAGCTTTTGTGTCCTCGGTTTTGCCATTGTTGGTTCCACCATGTCCTATGGGGGGATGATTTATATGCATGATGTTGTTTTCATGTATTGTTTTAATAAATGCTATTAAGCTGTTATATGCGAGTGCCTTTATGATATGCATGTGGTGTTCCACTTATACGGTAAGCCTAAGTATGTGGGGACATACAAGATGGTGAGGCTGTGGGTGAGGTGCAAGCGGTGTTCCTTGTACTTATTGTGGGGTTGTAGACGTACGTCCTGCATTTCTCTGGCCAGTAGAATAGTGATAACACACATGGCATGAATATCTGTTGCACTGCATAGTTTTGGAACTTATATTGGAATTACTGCTTTTGAACTTATATTGCACCTGTAAGTGACCTTAGGGTGGAAGATCCTTGAGGACCCCTTATCTTACTGAGATTTCTTGTTTAGAGATCTCACCCCACGTTTGGGGACGCTTACTTCAGGTTCAGGTAACCCAGGGGTTGAGACCTCTAGTGGCAGGAGGCCAGAGCTGAGTTAGATATTACTGTTAATTGCTGACATGTTGGATGCTGGATATGCCTGTTGCTTTTATGCTTTTAGCTTCAGTTATTATTATGTTGTTGCTGTTGAGACTGCTGTTGGGTGGGCTTTGTTGCCTTATTTGGTGAGCATGGGGTTTGTCCATACCACATTAATTGACGATGTCTTGTTTTTAGTTATGAGTCGTAATAATGTATCAGGATATTGTCCAGGCTACGGGTTGTAGTCCTGTGATATAGATACTCACTTTATTTATATTTTGAGATATTTCAGTTAACTGTCTTTGCAATTTACATACAGACGATATTTTTATAAAAATGATAAGTAATCAACTTGGCTGAGTATAATGACGTCATAATTGAATTTAAAGAAAAAATTATTCCACATTTTAATTAAGCGTGGCTTAATACGATGACATGTTAACAAACAGGGTATACACGGGGTGTTACAGAAAGCAAGGCATGGGGAGGATCAGAAGGAAAGACAAATCTTAACAATAACTATCCCGTCTAGCCACTTGCGCCCCTCAAAGCACTGTTCACACCGCCCATTTCATGCAGTTAAGAAAACAACTCCAAGGGAATTACGCATTTTGTCATTCGTTCTTGTGCCTATAAATAGGACGTTCCAGCAAAAAGAAATCATCGAATTCCTTAAGAAGAGATCACTTAGTTTATTTTGTAATTTTTCTTTCGTATAATTTTAGCTGTAGTTAAGTGACAACACTTCTTCTCTATTTTGTATCATCACAAGACTCATGACGAGCAGCAACCATATTCTCCACTTTTCACTTTTGTTGTAACTTAGTTTGTTTCAAGTTAAATATAAATGTTATTTCTCTCCTTTCCATTCATCTCTGAACTGAATCTTGGATCTATGAGATTTCAATTTGGAATAATTATGTTTAAAGTAATAACAATGGGCTAAACTGTATATGGAACAAAAAATCTATAAAGTTCTTAAAAAATTATTTTCAAAACTCTTGTACTGAAACTTTTGTATTTCTCTAGTTAAATGAGCTATAATCATTGTGTATCAATAGAAATTGAACACATACTAAGGAATTTCCATAAAGAATGAATTTCAGACAGCTTGGAGTTAGACAGAATCCCCCAGTAGAAAACACAATTCAGATGGTTACATAATAATTTGCATGAAATGTAAATAATTCAAATAAAAAAGTTAATAAGGATACTTCTACATTTGTACACGTGACAAATTTTGCATGTAAAAGTTTTCTGAAATTACAAAACCAGTCGCCCTCAAAGTTTCATACTAGGCGTAACTTACGTATTCCACTTGATCGTAAAAATGCAAAAATAACGAAGAAACACTAATTTTTAAAAGACATAGAATCAACACTGCTTGCTGTGGAGTTTGGAACATAGGGAAGCTGTTAATGATCCCAGCCAGAACAAGCATGTTCAGAGAAGAGATTTATGGATCCTGATGATAGTTTGTTCATAACTGAAAGTGACTCAACTTATAAGGTAATGAGCATATTAGATTTAACGGAATGCAAACTTTTTGTTGACCTCTCTGCCACTAGATTCTAAAATCCGTCGTTGTGCAATAAGGGTCTTGTTGGTAGCATTGGATTTTGGGAGAGAACGGATCTTAGAAACTAATTGGTAGAGAAAGGTCAACCAAGAGTTTATATTCCGCAAATCTATCCATATCCATTAGCATCTTATAAGTCAAGTCACTTTCAGTTATGAACAAATTATCACTGGCTTTAATCATAGATCCATAAATCTCTTATCTGAACATGCTTGTGCTGGCATCGTTAACAGCTTCCCTATGTTCAAAACTCGGCGCCACCACTGGACAAAACCGTTTTTTGGTATAAGGGCCATCCATAAAATCAGAAATTTCCAATTCAGGTAACCAATACACAACCAAATCAGATTCAAGATTATAAAGATGTTACTTTGTCAGATGTCAAATTTTAGTAGCAAACAGGGATAGTTGTTAAACAAGTACACATTCCCGGTGAGGATGAACACATAACATTATAAAACATCTTAGATAGGCTTGATCTTGAAGTGAAGTGAAATAAGAGAGAAGACGAAGCACTTCAAATCCTGCAAACAGTAATTGTAATAAGAATAAACAAAAGGCATTAGCTGACACAAAGCAAATCTGGCATTAAGCAAACAAAGGGCGGGGTTCTAATAATTATTTCTAGGGTCCACAAGGCTAAAAATTTCAGACAGAATAATAATATATCAGGGAGGAGAGATGAATCACTATATCTAAAACATGATCAAATACAGTCAAGAAAACACAGCAGAGGAATTTTCAAATATCAGTTAATTTGACATTAGAATTAAGAAATTGAAATTCTCACACAAAAAATATTGCTGAATTTTAGGTCTAAGTATGGTATCAGTTTAGTAAGTTGCTAGGACAGTTTAATTTTAGTTTTCTTTATTCTGAGTTATGTACTATTTTACTAATGTTCATAGTCCCTCATCAAGGCTGTGGTATTTTCTGTTCAGTTTTAAAGCTGTTTTGTTCTCATTTGGTCTTTGCTAGTTTTGATACCCATTACTGAACTAGGAAAGTCTTTTTAAGTTGATGGTAGTCCTAAATCTACCCAAATTGACAAGAAATTCTTCTATAGACTTCTGCTACAGACAAGTAAATAGAAGAATTTCTCCTAAATAATGGGAATACTTCAATCTTTTATTTTGATTAATGTGGGTTACACAGTGGGAGGCAATCCTCTCTCTTCCCAAAAGGGATCTGCATTCCACACGATTTCATCCCAACGTTAATACTTAATACCAAAGGACACTGGGCTTCATAGCTAGACAGATTTCTTTTCTAAGTCAATTCTGTCCATTTGATACTTTAAATAACTCCCCTTAAAGTACTACAAATTACATAACCCTAAGACATCTATCTTTTGATTTAACCTGAAACCACTGTTTATATAAGTCTGCATCACCATAGAAACTACCTTGATCTAACTCCATTTGGCTTGTAAATGAATCCAAACCCATTACATATGAAATCCCATGGCACAAAGCAAAGTTAAATCTATGACCACGAACACCATCTCAGTATGATCCTTGAAGATCTATAACTGTTTACCACTCACGGAAATTTTAAAATCTTTTTAGATTGGAAAAAGAACAACTGGTTTTGCACTCTTACTGAATTTCCCAGTCTTGTTCCCAGACGCTTAGCTCATAGTTAAATCTATGACCACAAACACCATCTCAGTATATGATCCTTGAAAATCTATAACTGTTTACCACTCACTGAAATTTTAAAATCTTTTTGGATTGGAAAAGAACTGGTTTTGCACTCTTACTGAATTTCCCAGACGCTTAGCTCATCCCTGTTAGTCAGACTCGCAGCTTCAAAGAATGGTTACTAGTCTTCCAAAGTTATTAAGGTGTGAGTCATGTGAACTTGGAAAGCATGTCGCATCCTGTTTTGTTATTCATTATGATGTATGGGGTCCAAGTTGTGTTTCTATCTCTTTAGGTTTTAGGTATTTTGTTACCATTATTTTGAACTATAGAATCTTCAATTCATAGGAATACAATAATCTCAACAAACCTAACTTTAGTATTTTATTTCCTCTCCTTTCATATATCCACTTTCTTATAACTGAAACATGAGACCATACAACCTTTTCTCTGCAGGTGTCTGATAGCAGTTCCCCAATTAAAAAGGTGTATATTAGAAGGAATAAAGCAGAGAACAGGGGAATAGAACTCGAGTCAGTTTCAGGGAATTTTTTAATATACTCCAGGAGTACCAAATTTTTTGGTGCTCCTTTTCCTTTTCTGGTAAAAAAAAAATTACTCTAGTCTTTGGTTGTGCATGTTTTCCTTTCTTACGACCATATAACAATCATAAGTTGGACTTTAGAAGCAGTGAGTGTATATTTCTTGGCTACTCTCCAAATCACAAAGGCTACAAATGCCTTAACTCCTCTGGTCGACTGTTCATTTCAAAAGATGTCCTTTTTAATGAAACAAAATTTCCATACACCTCTTGGACAATTGTGAGTTCCTCCTTTTCTGCTGGTTCAGCCTCACAGCCTATTTCCAATTTAATTCCATCGGTACCTTCTACAGTACCTCATTCAGATACAACCATCTCTGGTCAACAGTGTGACTCTCCTTTACAACAGTGTGACTCTCCTCTCCCAGCTTCCAGGACATCTCCTTCTTCCTGTTCAGACTCATTCAATCCAGATGTTTCACCATCATCATCCTCCAAGACAGCAAGCACTTCACATTCCAACAGTGATGTATCACCTTCAAGTTCATGTACTCCTTTATTCTCTCCAAATTCAGATTCATTTAGCCCTTCTTCTTCTTCTAGCACCAGTTCTGGTTCGGAGTATGTCCCCTCTGGTCCTCTTCACTCTTCTCCTACTCACACTATCCTCACACGATCCAAATCTGCTCACATGCCTCAGATACTACTGACTTCCCTTGAACCTACCTCAATCAAACAAGCTATTGCCAGTCCAAATTGGCTTACTGCTATGCAATCCGAAATCAATGCCCTTCAAGCAAACTCTACTTGGACCTTGGTTCCTCTTCCCAAAAACAGAAAGGCCATTGGATGCAAATGGGTCTTTCGGATTAAGGAGAACCCAGATGGCTCCATTAGCAGGTACAAAGCCAGATTAGTGGCTAAAGGCTTCCATCAACAAGCTGGTTTTGACTTCACTGAAACATTCTCTCCGGTTGTGAAGCCTATTACCATTTGAATCATCCTTACCATTGCTATTTCTTTTGGTTGGCAACTAAGACAATTGGATGTCAATAATGCCTTTCTCAATGGCATTTTAGAGGAAGAGGTCGACATGAAACAACCTCCTGACTTTGAATTTTCAGACAAATCTCTTGTTTGCAGGTTACATAAAGCCCTCTATGGTTTAAAACAAGCACCAAGGGTCTGGTTTGATAAACTCAAAGCATCTCTGTTTCAGCTTGGGTTTACAGCAAGCAAATGTGATCCATCCCTTTTTATCTACAGAAAGTCCAATCACTGTATGTTCCTTCTAGTCTATGTAGATGATATAATCATTACTGGAAGTGATGCTAGTTTTTGTCAATCTCTAGTTTAAAATCTGAATGCTGCATTTGCTCTAAAAGACCTTGGAGACCTTGATTTTTTCCTTGGAATTGAAGTTAAGAAATCATCATCTGGTGGTCTTTTTCTGTCACAGTCCAAATACATTAGAGACTTGCTTACTAAAGCAAATATGGCTGAAGCAAAAGGAATCTCTACACCCCTTCCTTCTGGCTGCAAGTTGTCCAGATATGGTTCTAATTATTATTCAGATCCCTCCTTTTATCGCTCAATTGTTGGAGCATTGCAATATGCAACTCTCACAAGGCCAAAAATTAGCTATGCAGTGAACAAAGCTTGTCAGTTTATGGCTCAGCCTCTTGAGGAACACTGGACAGCTGTAAAACGAATTTTAAGGTATCTTCGAGGTACTCTTAAGCATGGCATGTTGCTGCAACCTTGTCATCCAAGCCATCTCTTTTCTATCACTGCCTTCTGTGATGCTGATTGGGCAGGGGATCCAGATGACCGTAGATCAACATCAGGTGCCTGTGTGTTCTTTGGTTCTAACCTAGTCTCTTGGTGGTCCAAGAAACAAACATTGATTGCAAGGTCTAGCACTGAAGCTTAATATCGTAGTCTAGCACTTGCCACAGCTGAGGTTCTTTGGCTCAAATCTCTGCTTCAGAGACTTCACATTCAGTTTCCCTCTCCCCTGATTCTCCGTGACAATCTCAGCACAGTATCACTGTCCCACAATCAAGTTCTTCATGCCCGTACCAAACATATGGAGCTAGACATATTTTTTGTCCGTGAGAGAGTTCTGGCCAAGGATATTCGAGTTTGTCATATTCCTGCTGTGGACCAGATTGCTGACACTCTCACCAAGAGCCTTTCTGCCTCCCGCTTTGCTGTTCTAAGAGACAAACTCAGTGTGGTTGACTTCCACTCTCTGTTTCATCCACCCTGAGTTTGAGGGGGACTATTAGAGTAAAAGTATAGGGATATATTTGTAATATCTGTTAAGGGTACTTTTGTAATAGACTAAGCATAATTAGTTAGAGTAACTAATTCTGTTCAAACAGAACTAGTGACGTGGCACTTGTACTTAGCTCTATAAGGAGGTCACGTGTACTGGTTCATATCATAATGAGAAATATGAGATACTTTCAACTTCTCTCTCTTCTACTCTCTCTGCACTCTCTCTCTCTTCTTCATCTCTTTCCTGGTTTCTCTGAGTATTGATCTTTTTTTTTATTGACAAAAAGAAAAAATAGGAGCTCAGAAAAAAGAATAGGTCAAAAAAAAAAAACCAGAAAAAAAAAGTTCAAAAAAAATAACCTAGAAAAGAAAAACAAAATAAGAGGCTAGAAAAAAGAAGAAGTCAAAATCATTACCTAAATGAAGAGAGGAGAGATAATGAGTCAAGAGGGAGGAGAGGAGAAGCTGCCCACTGCCAATGTTGTTCAGATGAGTCAAGAGATAGAGAAAGAAAAGAGAAGACGTCGAGTGAGATAATATTCATTTTGTTCAATGTGATTGTCACAGTAAATTTATGACTCTTAATTTTGTATATATAAAATTATATATATCTTAAAGGATAAAAAAATATGTGGCTCACACTAGGACAAAACATAATTTATTAATTCTTTTATATAGCTTGATTGTTTAATTTTTTTTTAAAACAACTATTTAAAATTTGAATAATAGCTTTTGATATATTTCTTTACCCACAAAAAATAAATCATTAGCTTTTGTAACTGCTGCCCATGACTCGTGGGAAAAAATATATTAAAATATATCGAAACCCAATACAAGTCACATGAGTTTGTTTCGACGTCTTCAAATTTATAATGCAGAAGAGAGTGAGAACTCCATTTTTTAACGTAGAAGAGAGAGGGAGCTTCGATTTCATTTTGAACCGCTTTCAGCTGCGATTTTTCGCCAATACAGCCGCGATTCCTCCACTATTTCTGCCGCTACAGCCACTATCACTTTCCAGACGGTGCAGAGCGGTTTCTTGGGGCTGAACACCGCAACCTGCTAATGGAGCAAGTAGCGCCGCTTTTAACTACTATGGTTTCAGTGAGGCATGAAATTGGCTCACTCCTACAATTTGATCCTTTTCTTCTTCATCTGAGAGACAGAGAGACACCAACTCTGTGTAGTTTCTAGAGAGATTTTCTTACAACGACCTAATTTATTGGAGCTAGAAGCACCCATCAAGATTTGTGATTTCCCAAAAAAGCCTCCATTTTTTTTTCAGTACTGATTCAACTCGGTAAACTCGTCGAGTCAACCGAGTTTAACAAGTCAACTCGGCGTTTCAACTGTTTCTACGCAGATTTCGTTCCTACCATTGTTCTAACACGTTTTTGGACCAAAAAACATAGAAACAGACGTTTCTACGTTTGGAAACGACATTTTAACAACACTAATTTAGACAATGTCAATTAGAGAAAGTCAGAAACCTTCTACCATAAGCATCCTAGGAAACTTCGTAGAGACATAAAAAAACTCAAGCAATACAAATAACTATCATGTAAACCATATTTCACAGACAATACATAAAAGAAAAAAGAACAGAAAATCTCACAAAAGAAATCCATCAAAATCATCAATCAATCAGCTCACCTGAACAAGATAGTAAAAGATGCGAAGACCTTCTGGATCTGCACTGCTCTGAACATCCACAAGAGATCCAATCTTTGATGTTGTGAAGGAGATATGCTCATTCCCCATCACAATCTCGAGCTCCTGCCGTCCGACTCGATCAGGTTCCGGCCAGTTGTTATCGTCTTCCTTCATGATCTGAACAAAGACACCAACTAATGAGAAAGCAGAAAAATGCAAATAGCAACCCCCAGAACTCACTGGCAAAAGAATAGGTTAAAATACTCAGCAAAAGGAACTATTCAAATCATCACTTAATTAAATAATGCACCCATAAATCAGATATATATATATGTATATATGTATATATGTATGTGTATATATATATATATATATATATGTATGGATTTAACGTTTCTCCCGTTAACTTGAGATAAGGTTATCTCTGGTGACCCAAGACAGGCAACGTTTTGAGATGCATTAAATGTGATAACCCCTGTATGCATCCAAGGGCTGCACTATTAATTGTATTCGAGTCGTCAATTTATATTACATATGCATATGGAGATATACATATCCTTTAAGCTGATAACATGCTCATCCCATAGAATTTTCAGACAATGGTAATTTATGCTAATAAAATCATAACCAGCCAAAGAAAATCAAACTCTTAAAATTTTTTAGTCCAACAGCCAAGAGATTAGTGCAATAATTTAACTACCAATATCATAGGTGTCATCCTTTGGTTATATCAGTCTAGCAATTTGTTTGATGTATTTGATCCTAAATACTGGAGGTCCTTATATGTCCTGTCACTGTATAATGCGTAAGAGAAATTGAGTACCTTAGCAAGTTATCAAGAATATATGCGCGGCTGATAAAAATTAAATTAAGCTGAACTTTAAGTACATGTCAAAGTGATCTAGCTTAGATACTCAAGCAAAGATTGTATAAGATCTATATATACACGAGCTGTATTTTATGCAGATCAGTTACGCAACAGCTTTTCGAGCAATTAACTATGAGTCACTTGAACTATACGGCAGTTCAATAGGCAATAAGTTTTTCAATTTTATTGAATTTTTTTTTCCCAGTCGTATCACAATAAAATAGAAAGCAGAAATACTAGAGTTGTAGTTATGCACGAGTCAAAAATATCATTTTGTAAATTTCTTCTAAATAGTACCACAATGCATATCTTATAAAATATTAGATACTTAAATTTAAATCCAAAATGGTTGATTTGAACTTCGACCCAGATTGCACAAGTTAAAAGGGACTTAAATAATTAAGGAGGATGATCACAAAATATAAGATCCAAGCTTACTTGACTAACAGGGACAAGTTATTACGGTGAAGTCAACCTTTTGTACTACACCAATGGATACATTTTGTATGCAATAAGTCCTTATAATTCAGCTTATCAAGTATTCCAGGGCGTAATTAAGAAGAACAGGTTACAAGTTATAAGAACCATATTCACACCAGGCTTAAGTAGATCAATCAAAGTTACAGAGAATGTAGAAGATAGTCTCTCAATGAATTGAGTCAGGGACAACAAATATTTGACAGCAATGGCCAAGTGTAGCAGAATTGAAGATTGAGCTCAAATTTCAGCAAACCAGAATGTAAATGCTTACATTAATAATACATGGGTCTGAAGTCTTATGTAGCAGTTATATTTATTTATTTGTTTATTAATATTTATTTATTCAATTTTTTTTTACAGCAGCATCACAATTTAGATGATATAGCAGAGATTACGATAAAAATTCAACCACTTTTACATAGTCTACTTAGTAAGCCAAGACAATATAATTCAATGCAAGTGCCTGATGTAATGAAAATAATCAACCCAAAATCAGTATAGAACCAAGATAGATGATTGATGGAAGATATATCAATACCAATCTAATTTTAAATGAGTCAAAGATAGGTAGCTATAAACACCAATAGCAAACTATAAGAGTCGTGTATGTTTTTCCTAATACCTAAGCTTGATGCAATGGAACAAAAAGAACTTCGTCAAAATGACTCAAGACAGCACAAAAGATTTACACCGTAATAATACACCTAATTGCATTTTAGAATGCATTTATTTATCAAAGCGGTGCTAGTTAAATTATGCAATAGGATACAATTGGTATATTAGCTGAGTGCAGCAAAAGAACAATCATAGAACCTTTTTATGAAGTAGTCAATTGATTAGCAAGTTGGCGAAACACTTCACCATGCCAATCATAGACAAAACAGAACAAGAGCAGCAGTTGGTACAGATCAATTTACACAGCTTAAATATAATGAAGTCCTTATAATTGTTTCTCAAGCACCAAGGCAATTAGGCCAATAAGTTTTAGATTCGATCTATCAATTATCAGATGTCAACAATCAACAAGACAGCAAGGTATTCAAGCATCAACTTGACATCTAGGAGCAGTACCATAAAAGATAGATATGTCATGTTATTTGAACATGCTTATCTGAACATGCTTATCTGAACAGTAGACAAATCTGATTTCAATCTAAACAGAGCAATGTGACCCTAATCTAATTATCTACTTGCTCAACAATCAAAACTATCTTCTTCTTTTTACCAAGCACAAATAGTCTACTCGATATCCAAAGTTTTAATTATCACAGGGTAATTATCTTAATTATGCAAAATTTAAGATAAGGGAAGTATTGAGGAATAAAGTGGGCATTGCTTTACGATACCTCTGTATATACAGCCATTGCTTTAGTTTGACCCCCATTTTAACCATAACTACAACTCTTGGATGTTATACAGCCATTGCTTTTCAATCATACGGTTGGATTCCCTAAAATGCAGAGTATCATAATGTGTACCAACTCATGGAGACCTTCACCTCTAATATCTTTTAAAATTACAATTCTGCCAATAAAATTTTCCTTAATTTCAATTGAACCCTTAAAATGGAACCATAAACGTTGGGGTGTTATTTTTCTCCCACCTTTTTAAAAAAAAAATTCCTCAAAGTTATAACCATAAAAACTAATATAGCCTCAGAATAAATTATAATTACAAAATTACATTTTCTCAAATGACCGGAGAAACATTAAACACTATCTATATATAGGCACTTCAACTGCAAAATGGTCTACTATTTTGTAAACGACCAAAACATACAGAGTCCATTGTTAAATGAAAGTTGCGGAAAGTGAAAGAGAGAAAATGAGTTCTAAGACCTTCTGATATCATTCAACTCACAGTTCTAAAACTCAAGAGCTTACAGAGTTACACCAACCTTGCTAAGCAAACTCTACCAGAAACTAACCTAACCGAATCTCAGTTTTTCGTTACAACTAGATGACACGTAGGCATAACAGAATAACAGAATCCGTAAAGAAACGACTAACTGTTACTGTCAATCGCAAAAGCTTGTTACATTCTCTACTATTTTGTCAAAATTGCACACACAACCGTTTTCGTCATCTTGACACTAGTGAGTTAGGGTAGGGCTGGTTACTTACTTCACTTTCGGCGATGATACGACGACACTCGCGGAGAACGGCAGGAGTGAGGTAAACCTCCTTGCGAATGATAGTGTCGTTTTTGTAGTTTGAGTTGTTAGCGTAACGAAGCTTACCGTCGGGTCTGAACTCGAACTCCAAGAACTCGTGACCGAACTTCCCTTTGTGTCCAACGTAGTATCTCAAGTAGAATTCCCCGTTCTCCTCTTCGCTCCCCATTCTTCTTCTTCTCTCTCTCTATCTCTCTTTCTTGATTCCTTCGATTAACGGGAACAACGATTGTGTAATGTGAATGTGATGTAACTATAAGGAAGATGAGGATCGATTACTAGATGAACGAAGAATGAAAAAGAATAACGAAGATGAAAATGAAGGAGAGAATGACGAGAAACAGATTTCGGTGAGAAATCGAGAAGAATCTGGAACGTTCTAAAAGAGGAGAGAACGAGAGTTGTTAGGGTTTTAGCGATATTGAGTCTGTAAAAGAAATTGGGCCGGGTTTTAAAGGCCCAAAGTTTATAGGACTTCTTTTCGCTGTTAGGTGGAAGAGTGTTCACGTATTGGATCGGGCTAGGTTGCTTAATTAATGAGGTTCGAGTATCTCTTAAGGTGTGATTGGTATGGATTTTTGTTTGGGTTCGATAGGGAAATGTGGGTGGCAATTGAATTTGACCACTTTTGGTTTAAGTTTTGAAAAAAAAACCATGCAAATAGGAAGCCTGGGCAATGACTTCATAGTTGTTTTTTGAATGAAATTAATTATTCTAAAATACCACTTCAGATGTGATATTTTTTTTGTTGATAAAAATGGAGGGTCAAGCCCAAAAAAACTATAAAGATAGATGCTGCATATCCAAACTCACTTGCTCCATCAACAATTTGGAGCTAAAAACATTCCAAAAAGGCAAAATATTAACACGGGGATAGGAATATGTCATCAACTCTTCACCCTTAAGGCTAAATCCTACTTTGGCTAATCTATCTCCACACTCATTAAGATCTCTTGGGATAAACTCCATTTGAAGATGGTTAATCTTTTTAGCAACTTTTTTGATTCTGCATATCAGAGATGAGAAGCCATATCTCTCAGATTCTGCCTCTATACAAACAAGAGCCTTTTTGTTATCACATCCAATCCAAACCTTGGAGTAATTTAAATCACCAGCCATCTTGAGACTATGAAGCAAGCCCCACAACCCAGCTTCCAAAACAGAGCATTTACCTACATTGAAAGAGAAACCACCTAACCAATCTCCATTAGAAGAACGAATGAAACCTCCACTGGCTCCTATATTAGTAACTAAATTATATGCAACATCAACAAAATTTTTAACATAATTTTAACATGCCTCAGGGGAAAAGAGATTTTCTGTATCTGAACATAAAGGACCAGAAGTGTTTCTTCTCTTCATATCAGCTAGATAGACCAGAATTCTATAAATTGGGTCTTGGGGCCTAGAAAATAATTCCACATGCACAAAATTTCTCCACTGCCATAGAAACCAGCAGGTCACGAAAAAAAACCTCCTTCCAAGAGTGCCATAACTTACTAGAGAAGGGTTGAAACAAGTTAAGTTTAAACCACTCTGATCCTTCTACAGTTAAGAAGCTGGTAGGAATTTTCCCTGAAAACCATCTCTCCCAGATTTTCCTAGCCACTCTACAGTCTCTCAGGGTATGCATTATTGTTTCTTGACATGAATAGCAAGAGGGACATAGGAAATCCCCCCCACTCTAGTGACCTGTTATATTTCTAACAGGGAGCTTGTTTAAACAAGCCAACCAAAGGAAGACTGTTATCATGTATGGTCCTCTCCACTTCCATATAGCAGCCCAGATCCTATCTTTCCCTGCACTTGGTTCAGCTAGATGGCAATACGCATTCCTCACAAAGGATTTGCTTGGGCTACTCCATTTCCAATTAATCCATTCATCTGGATTATTCTTGGCAGGAGGTTGGATAATTATCAATTTGTTAATAGTGGATTCATCCAACCAATTGCACAGGCAGCTCCAACTCCAATCACCTGTAATAGGATCAACATAACCACACAGTTTAAAATAAAGATGAGAAGCTGGAGGTTTAAATAAGGCAATGTCATATAAGCTCCTTTTCCATCCTCCCCATATGTCAGTCCAGAAAAAGGTTGCTATACCATTACCAACCACCCACTCTAGTTGCTAGGATAAATTGTTTCTAGCTATGCATATATTCTTCCAGAGTGATAAGTCACTAGCTTTTGCAATTAAGCTACGATTAGGATCATGCTTTCTTCCATATTTGCCAAGAAGGACCTGAGCCCAAAGGCTATTCTGATCATTCATAATTTGCCAAGCTAATTTCTGCATGAAAGCTTCATTTTGAATTCTCAGATTAATAATGCCTAGACCACCACACTCCCTAGGCAGGCACATTAATTCCCAAGCTACGTAGTGATCTCTTCTTTTAGAATCTGAATCCCCCCAAATGAAGCTATGCTGCAATCTTTCAATATCTTGACAAACATGAACAGGGAGCATATTATTCTGCATATGGTAACAGGGAATAGCTGAGATAATACTCTTAGCTAAGGTGATCCCGCCCGCCAAAGATAAACACTTTGATTTCCAACGTTGGAGCCTACCTTGAACTCTAGATATAACATTAGCATAATGATCTTTTTTAACTCTACCATGCCTCATCAAAGATCCCAAGTAACATCCAAGATTGCTGACATTTTTAAATCCGCTAACAATGGTGATAGAGTTCGTGGTATCCTAAGGCACATTCTTAGAGAAGTAAATACACGACTTCTCCACACTCACACATTGCCCAGACATCCTTGAGAACTTTTCCAAACAGTGAGTGATACACTTCAACTTAGAAAGAGAGGCTTCAACAAAGAGGATAACATCATCTACAAACATTAACTGAGAGATAAAAGGCCTTGATTTACCAGCCCTGATTGGAAGCCAATTCTTCCTCTCCACTTCATCCATTATTAAGTAAGTTAATTTCTCCATACATAGAACAAAAAGATAGGGGGATATTGGATCCCCTTGTCTAATTCCACGCTGAGATTGAAATCCAGAAGTTCTAGCACCATTCCACAGAACCTCCATATAAGGACTAGTCACACAGCCCATTATAGTTTCAACTAAGTCACCTGGGAGCTTCACCTCATCCAGCACCGATCTGATAAAACTCCAATTCAGCTTTTCATAAGCTTTTTCTAAATCTATTTTGATAGAGAAAAAACTTTTCTTACCTTTCATTTTATGCATAGTATGACCAGCTCTTGAGCAATAATAATATTGTCTTAGATGTGTCTTTTGGGAACAAAACAAACCTGATTTGGGGAGAAAAGATTCCTGTAAGAACCCACACCGTTAATTAAGGTATTTAATTAATTGATTATGAGAAAATAGGAAATGATTCCATAATTGACCCTAATAATTATTATGAGGCTCTAATAAATATAGTAAGTGATTAAGAATGCTGAAAGTCATTTTTCGGAAGAAAAGTGCAGATACCGGTTCTGCAAGTCGGTATAAATGCGTACCGCAAAATTATCTCGAAAAATTAAAGTAAGTGCATGATAGTTACTAGAATAATATATAGGACTTGTAAAACGAGTTTCAAGTCCAAATAATGAGAACTGGTGCCAGAAACTGATACTGGCTATGAAAAGCGCGTACCGGAAATGTACTCAGAAAAATATAATAAAAATATGACAATTCTTGTAAAATTGAGTGGGTTACGAATCCAAAGTTTGGGATTAAATTGCTAAGTGTAGCAATTAGCGCTAATACAGTGTGATTGAGACTTAATGTGACTATATATACTATAAGCACAGATTCCTAGGTCATTTCCTATGGTCTTCTACGTGAGATGGAGCTGCTGACCAATCTCCTCTCTTCCTTGCCTTCTTGCCTTGGAGAAAAACCACCAAGTTGTCATTTTTCCTTGATTTCTTCTCTAGCAAATCCTTGTAAACACTTAGTAGAGTGTGTGGTGTAGGTAGAGGTCAATTTTCTGAGTTGTTCATCTCTGTTGGAGTGAGTACTTTGGGCTGAGTCTCTTTGTTTGAGTGTTAGGAGCCATCTCCTTGGTTATGGGAGCTCCAAGGAGCAACCTTTGTGAAGAAAGAACTGTTGTGGGTGCCATTTTCGTGTACCCTTGTTGGCAGCACCATGGAGCTGACTTGAGAGCTCCAAGAGCACCCCTTTTGCTGTTTTGTAGCTCATGGGTATATGTCTCAACATTTCCCTTTGTGTTTTCATGAGAATAATATGATTTAAAGATGTAAAATTATGAGTTTTGATAATTTGAACGTCGGTTGATGAATCTAAGTGTTAAAATACATGTTAAATCAATGGGATAGATGTATCTAGGTGAAAGATGGAATTTTAAATGGATATTTTTGTGCTAGGCTGCTGTTTGTGGCATCTGTCGTGAAATATCCGGATATGGGGACAACAACGAACCTGTTTTGGTAAAAATTCGATATCTTGAGCTACAAAGCTCCAAATCGAGTGCCGTTTAGACCTATGTGTATCTAACACATAGGGATACAACTCTGTAAAATTTCGTAGCCATTGGATAAGTGGTTTGATCTCAGTGTTAGTTTAAAGTTGAATCTTGGTTGCTGGAAATTCAGTTGGCAGCAGCCATTTTGCGAAAATCATAACCGGAGTTATACAACTCTGATTGAGACATAAGATATGTCGTTGGAAAGCTTGTGATGTTTAGTTTAACATATTAAAATCTCAGAATTTTTGGTAAAGAATTACAACTTCAGTTTTAATAAAATGGAACCTTGAGAGTGATATCTCGCGAAATATGGAAACTGCATTCTGTCACGAAATATCCGGATATGATATCCGGATATTGATATCCGGATATGGGCTTGGAGATATCCGGATATGCCCCCGACATATATCCGGATATTCTGGGTTTTCGAAGGACAACAAGGTACTGTTCATACAGATTGGAGTTATGGGTTTGTGGACCCTATTTTGATGGAGTTGAACTTCTGTAAATATTTAACTAAGTCAGAATCAAGGAATTAAGGGCTTGTGGCTTTGTGGGAAGCCTTAAGACGTAAAACGTAACAAAGAAACGTAGTCTTTATGTTTATGCTTATGAGCTATGTTATTGATATACTTGCTGGTCCTAAATCAGATTGTGATCTACTGTGTGTTGGACTTTGAGCTTGTGGCATTGGATAGCTAGCTTAGAGGTAAGCTTTCGTGTCCTCGGTTTAGCCATATTGTGGTTCCACCATGTCCCATGGGGGTATGGTATATGCATGTTGTGTTACATGTTTTTGATGTTTTGGAAATGCTGTTGAGCTGTTATATGCAAGTGCCTTTATGATATGCATGTGGTGTTCCACCTATACGGTAAGCCTGAGTATGTGGTACATACAAGATGGTGAGGCTGTGGGTGAGGTGAAAGC